TTCTGGAAATTCGATTTTCTCTACGGCAACCCTAAATCTGATTAGTTGTTAGTTTTCTCATCCTCTTCCCCACCCTCTTTTCTTATTTTTTTATTTATTTTCTTTATTTTTATTTATTCTGAAAATTCGAATTTCTTGGCGGAAACCCTCAATCTGATTAGGTGTTAGCCTTTCTTGCTTTCGGCACACGTTTTGACCCCGTGGGGGTAACGAAGTGTTGCCGAAATTTTCTGATTTTCTCTTACTTAGTCTTTTCGGCACACTTCGACCCCATGGGAGTAACGAAATGCTGCCAAAATTTTTGAAAAATCAGATAACCCATTTCTCTCCACCTCCTCACACACTTATTTACTTATTTATTTATTTGTTTATTATTTTTTTATTTATTTTCTGAAATTTCTTTTTAATTATTTGCGGCATCTCTAGTGTGCTCACCTTGGTCTCTCCTTTTCCCTTGGCGCATTCTTGACCCCGTGGGGGGGTAGGGAAATGCTGCGGAAAATTTCAAAAAAGTAAATATTGTTTTTTTTTCCTTTTCCATCCTTTTACTTATTTTTTTAATTATTTTTATTATTTATTTATTTCCTTATTTATTTTTATTTTCTCTGGAAATCTCGCTGTTTATGTATTTTCTCCCGCTTTCCCCCCCCTATGCTTGCTCTTTTCCTTTCTTTATGAGGTCACCAGTACCCTACCCTAACCACTTAAACCTTGGCTAGGGTTTTCTTAGGGTTTTGTAGGGCTTAGGATTCTTCAAAACCATCCCCCCCTACTTCCCCGTCCTCTTCGGGCACCCTGGACCCGAACCACCCCTCCCCCTTTGACGGCGCCCGCTCTAGCCTTGTTAGCGCCGTTCGCCGCTTTCTACCGCGGACTTCCCCCTACGCCCTCCGCTCACGCGGACCTCTTCTGGCCCCCTCCAGTCCAGTCCGTCATCTCCCCATGGTTGACGGTGTGTCACACGCCGTCGACTCGGCGATGACCACGACATCGGGCTCCTCACCCGTGCCGGCGGACCAGGGCCATCAGCCCCAGGGGATCTGCACACCCTCCTAACCTCCTTCCTCGCGCCCATCCAAGCGCAACTCGCGACTCTCGTGCCCTTACAGGCGCAGGTGGCGACCCTTGCCGCCGGCGTGCGGCAACTCCAGGACGCTGGTCATCCTTCCTTTCCTCACCCTATCTCTTCTCCTGGCTCCCAGTCTGGGTCCCCCTCCTTCCGACAGGGTGGCCACGGTGGAGCTTCCTCCTCCGCTGCCCCCGACCCGGCTATCTCGGTGACCGGCCACGCACCTAGTAAGACGAGCGCCACGAGTCCGGCCCTCCCTCAGTCCACGGGCGTACCCGCCCAGATTCCGGTCACGACGGCCACGGGACCACAACCCGCTACCATGGTCTCAGCTTTTCCGGGTGCCCCACTTCTCCCCCCTCTTCGCACGACCGCAACGCCATCTGGCTCTCCCCCTTGTGGGATGCCTCGTGCCGCTCGTGCGTCTCCCCCTGCCACACCTCGCTCGACCTACGTTCGAAGTCTCGAGGACGAGATCGCCCGGCTCCGGACCGACCTCGCCCTCTCACGCCTTCATCCACCCCCACCCTCACAGGTGGCCGCGTCTTCCGGTGTACCCCCTTCTTCCTCTATTCTTCCTTCCATGCAGGCTCGCTTCCCTCGCCCTGCACCCTACCAATCTCCATCCTACCTCCTCCCCATCCCCTCGGTCGTCGCGACCTCTTCTACCGCAGCTCCCGTGCAGCTTGCCGCTGCTTCCCCCGCCGCTCCACCATGCAGCCCGGGCGTACAGTCAGCTGCGCCTCCTCCTCCTCCAGGACCCGCGCCGACTTATTCCGCCGTAGCGCAGTCCCCTGCTTCCCATTTTCCTCGCCGCCAAAACAGTGGCACACCACTCATTCGCTTGTCGGACATTCCCTTGTATGACGGTACAGGCATACGCGTATCTAGGTGGCTGCAGGCCGCCACCCACACGCTCCAGCTCGTAGGCGCCACACCCGACTCATGGGTGGGCCACCTCTCCACGCGCCTGCGTGGTGCTCCTTTCGACGCCTGGGAGGATTTCTATGCTTACTCCCTGTGTGAGGGTCAGACTCCGACCTTCATGGATTTCCAGGTGTTCCTCGAGGATCGCTTCGGAACCCGATATGACGTGACTGACGCCTTGGAGTGTGTCATCACTACACGCTGGTCCGGCTTTGGTGGCGCTGCCGGCCTGGATCGCCACATCCAGGTCTTTCAGGACGCCCGCCTCGTTTGTGACGTGGCGTTCCTTCCCGAGGCTGCCCTTATCGATCGTTTCTTGGCCAGCCTCCCGCTCGAGTACCGCTCCGAGCTATGGCGGTACGAGTTCACATCGGCCCCACAGGCTTACGAGGCCGGCAGGGACCATCAGCGGATGCGAGCCNAGCTATGGCGGTACGAGTTCACATCGGCCCCACAGGCTTACGAGGCCGGCAGGGACCATCAGCGGATGCGAGCCCGTCTTCACCCCGCCTCCTCCTCCCAGCCCCAACGCACGGGCTACGCCTCCTCCTCCTCTCACGGCACTTCCCAGCGCCGTTCCCCTTTTCGCGGTCGCCCCCGCCGTTCCACGCAGCAGGGCCGCCACTTCTCGCGCCGCTTCAGCGAGCTGGAGTATGGTGAGCAAGACGTTGTTGCCCCACTGTCACCTGAGGGCGACCATAGTGACGACCTTGATCTCTGCGAGGCCGTCCACTATCACTTGGAGGACTCTACCCTCCCTGCAACTGAGCGCCTTCAGCTCGCGCTCTCCGCCCTCTCTCGGGCACGCAGCCGCCCCGGTCACTCTGGCACGTCGCCCCCCGAGGTCCCTCAGGAGGACCTCCCTCAGGGCTTCGTCCCTCCTCGTGGTGTCCTTTCCCCTGAGGAACGCGCGGCCATTCTGGGCCGGCGTGGCGCATCCGCTTGCACGGTCATACCTCCTCGCGGTGCCCTTACACTACCGCCCTCGACCGCCACTACGCTGACCTTTCTCGTCAGCGTCGTGCTCAGTCCCCCCCCGGCGCCTCACGTCCCCGCGGCGCCTCCTAGCCACGGTGCAGTGTACACCTGCGCTCTCCTCAGTAGTGGGCTTTCCGACATTTCCGTCGTGGTTCGCCCCTCTCGCTACTTGGGTTGAGGTATCGCAGGACTTGACAAAGTGTACTCAGCCCTCTGTCGCAGTACCGTCTGCGCCTCCGCAGACCCCCCTCCTTCCCCGCCACGACTACCGACGCGTCGAGCCATTCGCTCAGTCCGTTGCAGCGAGCAGCTCGCTACTCGCGAGGACGTTGTGTCCTCTCTTCTGGACTTGAGCATGCTCCAGGTTCGTCAGGAGCGACTCACCCTCCATGTCGCTGCACCGCGGCGCCTTCTCGCCATCCTCTCTCACCCTGATCGCACCCTCCCCATCATCCCAGTACGACTCGGGACCTCCACGAGGGTGTACTTCGCGCTGTGGGATTCCGGTTCTCAGGGCGACTTCATTCACCCACGCGTGGTAAAAGAAGCTCGCTTACACACGACAGGGTCTCCAACTCCCATTTCCGTTACCCTAGGGGATGACAAGACCTAGCGCTTCTTCGATCAGACGGTCACCGACCTCCCTTTCTTCCTCACTCTTGAGCCGAGTGATCGTTCCCCGGCATCTCGTCGCCACCGCTCCTCTGCACATTTCGATGTGATGGAGATGGGCTACGACTTCATTCTCGGCACTCCGTGGTCTCGTCGGTTCCGCAGCACCGAGGCCAATTGGGCGACCAACACTCTCGTTCTCAAAACGCAATGTGGATAGACGTATTGCGTACCTTTCATAGGTACCACTGCGACACCACGCCCCGATCCTCCTCCCCCGGAGCCTTCCGTGCCCACACCATCTCCTTCCATCACTGTCACCTCGCCTCGGCAGTTCGCCCACTTCATCCGACAAGACGACGTCATCTTCTTTATGGTGGACGTGACGGATCTCTTACACTATGATCCACCCTGTCCCGACGCCGAGCTCATCCCTCTAGAGCCAGATCCTCATTCTATCTCCATGGCTCCCACATCTACTTTCGTCCCTCCGCCGTCCATCGAGTCCACTCCGCCGTCGCGCGCTGACGCTGACGTTGAGGAGCTTGCACGATATACGGCTGACCTGGAGCCCGCAGTTCGTGACCTCATCCGAGAGTACCACGACGTTTTCCCATCGTTTTTCTCGTACACCGGCATCCCACCGATGCGTGACGTCGAGCACTCCATTCAGCTTGTGCCTGACTATCGTGTTCACCACCAGGCACCCTACAGACTCTCGATCCCCGAGGCCACCGAGCTCAAGCGTCAGCTTGAGGGGCTTCTGAGACTGGGTTTCATTAAACCCAGCAACTCCCCGTGGGGTGCACCCGTCCTCTTTGCTCGCAAAGCGGATGGAACTCTTCGTCTCTGCATCGACTACCGCGGTCTCAACCGCTACACGGTTAAGAACAACTACCCCATGCCTCGTTACGATGAGTTGTTCGACCGCCTAGCAGGCAACCGTTTTTTTACGAAGATCGATCTTCGTAGCGGTTACCATCAGATCCGCGTCGCTGCAGCCGACGAGCCGAAGGCCGCGTTCCGATCGCGATTAGGCCACTTCACGGTGATGCCATTCGGCCTCACCAACGCAACCGCTACCTTCCAGAGGGCGATGAACGACATCTTCAGGGACATCCTGAAGCAGTACGTTCTTGTCTACCTCAACGATATCTTGGTCTATAGTCGTACCCTTGAGGAGCAACTCAGACACCTCAGTGACGTCCTTGACCGCTTGCGCCGACATGGCTTCTACGCCAAGCTGAGCAAGTGCCGCTTTGCCCAGCACAAAGTGGATTTCTTAGGACACTACGTGTCTGACCAGGGTCTCCACATGGACGACGCGAAGATCACTGCTATTGCGGAGTGGCCCGCCCCCACATCCGCCAAGCAGCTTCGCAGCTTCCTAGGCCTGACCAGCTACTATAGTAATTTCATCCAGGGATACGCTAGGTATTCCTACGTCCTTACCTCCACCCTCCTCCGGAAGAACCCACCCTGGGCTTGGACACCCCTCCACGAGGACGCCTTCCGCGCCCTCAAGAAGGCGGTGACATGCGCACCGGTTCTTCACCTACCCGATTTCAATCGCCCTTTTATCCTCACCACCGATGCGTCAGACTTTGCTGTAGGAGCAGTGCTTTCTCAGGTCTTCCCCTCCTCTATTGATTCCTCTCATCCTCGTATCCCTCACTTCTATTGACTATTCTCCTACCATCGCCGAGGACGGCACTGTTAAGTCTCGCTCAGGTGATTGTCCGATAGCCTTCTACTCCCGTCAGCTCCTGCCCGCCGAGATAAACTACACTGCTGATGAACGTGAGGTTCTCGCAGTAGTTTATGCCGCTCGGCACTGGTGTCACTACGTGCACGGGGCACCGTTCACGGTGCGTACGGACAACTCTGTTGTCGAGGCTTTTCTGACAAAACCGAAGCTCACTCCTCGGCAGGCTCGCTGGTGGCGCGACCTATCCGAGTTTAGTTTCACCACTGAGCATATCAAGGGTGAGACTAATCGGGTCGCAGATGCCCTATCTCGGCGCCCTGACCACGACCACGAGCACATCCAGCTCTCTTCCATCTCGGTCACCACCGTCCACCACTCGGTGATCGACGAGTTTCGCACTATGTACCTCCACTGCCTCGACTATCGCGACATCCACGCGGCCCGTCGGAGTGGCAAGATCGTCCCGAACTACTCTCTCGGGGACAACGGTCTTGTGTACTGGCACGGTTCACAAGGCACTAGAGAGCCCCGTATTTGCGTTCCCTCCACTGGACAACTACGTATCCGAGCAGTAGCAGAGTTCCATGACCAGGCAGCCGCCGGTCATATGGGCTTCCATAAGAAGTTGGCTCGTGTGAGCCGCCTGTACGTTTGGCCGAAGCGCAAGGACTTTGTGAAGGACTACGTCGCAGAGTGTCCCACCTGTCAGGAGGTGAACAGTGCGAACCACCTACCTTATGGTTTGCCCCAGCCTCTTCCTATCCCTAAGGGTCGTTGGCAGTCCATCTCGATGGACTTTATCGGTCCTCTTCGACCTCCGACCCCCCGCGGTCATGATGCTATCCTGGTTGTTGTCGACCGCTTCACGAAGCGTGCATGCTTTGTTCCGTGCCGCTATGCTATCAGTGCACGTGAGGTCGCCGACATCGTGTTTGACCGAGTCGTGCGTGACCACCGCTTACCTCTCAGCATCATATCTGACCGTGACCCGCGCTTTACCAGCCGATTATGGTGACGGTTCCACGAGGTATACGGCACTCACCTCCGCTTCTCCTCGTCTTACCATCCTCAGACTGATGGTCAAACCGAGATCACGAACAGGACTCTCGGAGATATTCTCCGAAAGATTGTTCGTGACGACCAGCAGTGGGACCTCCATCTTGCCCACGCGAAAATAGCCTACAACCATGCCGTCTCGCCAGCCACGAGGATGTCGCCTTACTATTGCGACCTCGGCTATCACCCTCGTGTTCTCACGGACTTCCTTCGACCGTCACAGATGCACCCCGACACGAGTCCCGCGCTAGATGATTGGGTTGCACACATGACGTCGATCATAGCGACCGCACATGAGCACATAGCCGCTTCCCAGACTCGCATGGCAGCACGAGCGAACCGATCGAGGATGGATCATCCATTCAAAGTCGGTGATGATGTGCTTTTACAGCTCGAAGCGGATACGCCTCGCAAGTTTCGGTGTCGCTTCTTTGGTCCATGCTGCATCCTCCAGGCCGTCGGTTCTGATACGGCTTGTAGACCGGTCAGCTTCCGTGTGAAGCTGCCCGACTACCTACGCCAGGCTCGTGTGCACGATGTTTACCACGTCTCGTTACTGCGTCCTTACCGCAGACCTTTCTTTGTTTCGTGGATGTTTTGCTGGCTTGTGATGGGGTGTGAACCGACAGTCTGTAGAGTTTTCCATCTGGTGTGGGTGAGTGATAGTCTATTTTGATTTTGGTTAAGGTAGATTATCATTTACAGTGTAATCAGTNGACAGTCTGTAGAGTTTTCCATCTGGTGTGGGTGAGTGATAGTCTATTTTGATTTTGGTTAAGGTAGATTATCATTTACAGTGTAATCAGTGAGGGCATTCTGTAGACTGTTGAGGGTTCAGCCTCCTGATGAGTCGGTGAAACTCCAACGAAACAGTTTGTCACAGCCCCTCGTTTGTTGTCCTCTTCTCTCTCTCTGCCTACGGTTCACTGGGCAGTTCTGTTTGTAACGATATATTCTACGACTTCGATAGCTTCCTACTACGGTTTTTTCCGGTCAGGTCGAGCGGCAGTGGTCGCGGCCGTTACTAGGCGACCATGTTGTGCCCCTAGTGCCATCGGTGTGTCTGGAGTGTATTGTTTGGCTGTGACAGACCTTTCTTTGTTTCGTGGATGTTTGGCCGGCTTGTGATGGGGTGTGAACCGACAGTCTGTAGAGTTTTCCATCTGGTGTGGGTGAGTGATAGTCTACTTTGATTTTGGTTAAGGTAGATGATCATTTACAGTGTAATCAGTGAGGGGATCCTGCAGACTTTTGAGGGTTTAACCTCCTTATGAGTCGGTGAAACTGCGACGAAACAGTTTGTCACAGCCCCTCGTTTGTTGTCCTCTTCTCTCTCTCTGCCTACAGTTTACTGGGCAATTTTGTTTGTGACCATATATGCTACGACTTCGCTAGCTTCCCGCTACGATTTTTTCCGGTCAGGTCAAGCGGCAGTGGTCGGGGCCCTTACTAGGCGGCCATGTTGTGCCTCTTGTGCCAGCGGTGTGTCTAGAGCGTATTTTTTGGCTGTGACAAACCTTTCTTTGTTTCGTGGATGTTTTGCTGGTTTGTGATGGGGTGTGAACCGACAGTCTGTAGAGTTTTTCATCTGGTGTGGGTGAGTGATAATCTACTTTGATTTTGGTTAAGGTAGATTATCATTTACAGCGTAATCAGTGAGGGGATTCTGTAGACTGTTGAGGGTTCAGCCTCTTGATGAGTCGGTGAAACTGCGACGAAACGGTTTGTCACAGCCCCTCGTTTGTTGTCCTCTTCTCTCTCTTTGCCTACGGTTTACTGGACAGTTTAGTTTGTGACGATATAGATATAAATATATATATGTATATAGGGTAACCGACGTTCGAGACGGGCCGAACGCCCGAACCGGAACGCCTAAACGTATGGGACCCCTTGGGGATGCGTTCGGTCGTTCAGGCTGAACGCGGACAAAAAAAAAAAAAAAAAAAAAGTCATCAAAAAAATATAAAACAAAGATATGCTATGGAGAAACATACATTAAACAAGATTTGCCCGAGCATTACATTCGGATTACTTACCAAATTCGAATTAGAAATAAAATACAGAAAACAAATACTAATAATAAAAATAAATAAAAATAAAAAGAGAATTGAATTTAGTGAGCACGCTAGCATGTTTTCGACACCGCCATCTTTGGCGATTTTTCGTTTTGTTTAGGAACAGATTAATGCCCTGAAAATTTACACATGTGTTCTTCACATAATACAAAACCTGTTAAAAAAGTTTCAAAAAATAATAGAATTATTTAGACCCCGAACTAAAGTGAAAACAAAAAGTGAAAAGTGAAAAAATACATGGGCGAGCACGTTTAGACATCTCCATTTTTGGCGATTTTTAATTCTTATGTGGCTTAGCCAAATGATTTGAAACTTTACATGCATGTACCTCACGTCATAGAGAACTTATAAAAATACATTCAAAAAAACATCATTATTTGTAGGCCCCGAAATAATATTTGGCGGGGGCCGAACACCGTCGGGTTCGGACCCCGTACGGGATCCCGAACGCCCGTACGTACGGAGGTCTGCCCAGGGACCTCCGTAGGTACGGGCTGGTGACCATGTATATATATATATATATATATATCGTCACAAATAGAACTGCCCGGTAAACCGTAGGCAGAGAGAGAGAAGAGGACAACAAACGAGGGGCTGTGACAAACTGTTT